TGGCTGTATCCTTAGGTTCCTTGTGCTCAGGTGTGGGGGATGGGCATATTGACATTCGAGGTAGTGAGCTTCACTTTTATAAAAGAAGAAATGAGAAGAAGTGCCGAATTCCAAACTGGTATGACATAAGCAAGTGTGTTATGCTTTAGCAGGTTTCAATCTCACGTCCACTTTTACAGTTCTATGATCGGCGTTAGGAAACGCGATATAAGTAGAAGTGGGTTGACCTCGTTGTCGCAACTTGGTCTTGTTGTCAGAGTGAATTAGTAGAACGCGCTTAGTCCGAAGTCGTCTGTCATATTAGTTGTCATGATTCCCAGCATCAGACAGTGGACTTGGTACATTCTCAAACGTTTCGAAGGCATCGTAGTCGGCATCATAAGTGAGCTTTGCCATTCTCCGTACTAAGCTACGAACTCGTTAAAGAGACTGCGACCATACCAGAGGCCACAACATCTTGGTCTTCATATCTTCAATTAAACTGCGATATAAGTAGGTTTTGAGAATATCAATAATTCTTGAATTAGAACTTAATTAATTAGGTAGTAAAGTTGGTTCGTAGCAGTTCATAATCGCATATTATTTGAATTAACAACTTGCATAAGGCTTAAACTCCCTTAATAATGCTTCATTACAGGCACAAGTCGGACCGCCGTTTTCATTGCTTTTGACATGCTTATGCAACAGGCTTCGCTGGAACAGAGTATCTCAGTTGCCCGTGTCTGCTTTGGTATACAGCGTGCTCGGCCTAATATGCTGCAGAGCCAGCGACGATACGCTCTCCTCTACGATCTTCTTTGCCAGGCCTTGCTTACAGGCTTCTGTATTGTGGATTTGGATGTCGCTGACACCTACAACTTTGTAAGTAGCCTTTGACTCATGAATAATTATATAACCACTATTTTACTGAACCCTACAGGTTTCTACACAGTCAAAAAACCTAATGAGAAGTCTTTTAATACTAAGAACTTTAGTCTTACTTAGAGTTCTTAAGGCTATTTGAGTATGGAGGGTGAAATTTCCCAATGATGAAAAGCAGTCCCATCTAGATGAGAAGCCTTTGGGAGACAAAATTAAGTGAAATTCAATGATATAATGAGGTCTACTCATTTTATTGCAGAAAGTTTCGCAGACAGTCCTTAAATCGCCTCATGTAAACTTGAGTTACCAAAGGTATGAATACCAAGATGGTGTAGCCTTTTGGGTGGTCGTAGTCTCCTTTCGTTGTATAGAAGTTGTTTTACCTTGTTTTCGCAACTTGGTTTTTTTAGTAGGAAGACATAGAGAAACGCACCTAGTCCGGAGTCCATTGTATGCATGATCATTTCCAAAGTCGAACCATTTACGTGGTACATTCCCATACGTTTCGCCGGTGCTAAGAATGGTGAGACTCACTGAGGATGCCGACTACGATGCCGGCAAAACGTCTGGGAATTTACCACGTCCACGGTCCTACTCTGGAAATGATCATGCATACAATGGACTCCGGACTAGATGCGTTCCTCTAAGTCTTCCTACCAATATCGCCAAGTTGCAAAAACAAAGTCAAACAACTTTATTGAGTTACCGAAGTTCTTACGCAATACTTACTGAAAGCTATTAAAAGTATTGGCATAGAAAATTGCGTTTTTTAGATCGAAATCTCGAGCAACATTTAGTCATTTATAACTTCCTCTACGATTTCAGTCTACCGTTTAAATGCTTGTCAAGTAACAATCTTTGCAGAAGCTCTTTTAATCACTTCATTCCATGAAGGTAAGAGAGAAATTTTATTCCTGCTTTGCTCTAGAATAACTGTTGTGCTTTGGTTCGGTTCTCAATTACGAATGATGGTCACCATTGACCCCTTGTTTTTCCTTCCAAATACATTCACATAGTTTTGATTAGCTCTTCGCAATCTGGCCAGTCTAGCCTTGATTGAGATTTTGGGCTTTACATTTATTATAATGTTATTATTTTCATCAAATTTATTTTCAAAGATTTTTGACGAATTCATATGGTTTACGAAATCTTATTTTTCATTCGTATTATATCTATTCGTAATAATAGTTTTTAAGCATTTCACAGCCATTTTTATGAGCTCACTGTTTATGAGAAAGTTCATATGCCCTTCAATGAATTTATCAACCATGGAGACCAGACGATGTCAGCACATAATTTATTTTGATACATTAGTCACCATACTTTTACCATTTTATTACTATGGCATAATTATTTACTCTGTTTCACTGGCCGCACTGATTTGAGGAGAATCTGGTTATGTTAATTATATCACAAAAGTTTCTAAAAGCTAAATACAGTTCGAAAGCGATGACTATTAAATTTAGCTTTTGTTACAGTTTTATTTTATTTAAAATTCCGAGTGAAAGGGATTTGTAAATTGGTTTCACAAGGAGCCGAAGGCTGAGTTC